TTATTTTCAACTTTAATTACCAAAGGAGTATATATTGTACATTTTGCTACAAACATTGCGAATGTTTGTTCTTCTATTTCCCTCTGTATGTGTCAGGACCTTCCATCTCCATCTCGACAATGATCTTAACTGATCAGACCAATGTGCCATTCCTTGAATGCATCACCCTCCTTGTAAGAGCTAGTTGATGCTAGCCCTACATCTTTTGTTCAGCACCAACTGTTCTCTCCCCGACGCTGATGCTCATGCTGATTGACATGTTTCTTCATTTTGATGAGACCAGAGAAGAGATAACTGCGTCTAATGGATGTTCTTCTAGACACATATTTCTTCTGTCTTGAAGAGCCTATTTCTGTTGCAATGGGATGAAGTGATGTCAGGTGACATAACACGTCTAATTTCCATTGACACTATCACTGCAACACCATCCCATATGAGATCCAAAGGCGTCTTCAACAAGATAGTGGCCACACCTTCTCTTCCCTCATGGATCACAACGAGTGGAACCTTCGAGTTTTGTCTTGGTGACTCTTATAACTCAAAGGTTACAAAGACTGGATCCCTTTAACTCGTTGGTTACAAAGACTGGTTCATGTTCTTTTTTCGTTCTTGGTGAACATGAAGCTTGGAATCAATCTGCAAACTCTCAACAACTAAATGCATACTCTCTCAGTCTCTCTCTCTCTCTCTCTCTCTCTCTCTCTCTCTCTCTCTCGCTCGCTCTCTCTGTTTACTATGAATTGTGTTCCTTGCTTGATATATTTGATCTTGTTTGCACTCTTTTATAGACAGTGTTTGAAGAGTAGATATCTTGGAAAATGGAAGTGCATTTATGGCCATTCAATTCAAAAGATTTGATGGATCGAGTCGTTATCATGCTTCTAAAAAAGCTGCAAAAATATCGTTGTTTGGAATATTTCCTTGCTTGACTAACTCTTTTGTTGTATTATTATATTATTTGTTATTATTTTTGTACCATATTAATTGAATTGATGGTGAACATTATAATTCTAGACTGCAACTTAACTCTATGATACATGTAACAACCGGTTATTTCGGGTCAATAAAAGTCAAACCAAAGTTAAACAAAAGTCAAATAGTTAAAATTAAATCATGAAAATTCATATTGCTTTTGAGGTTTTTAGTTTTAGGAATCAAAATCACCAAGACCAAAATTTTGCTTTAGACCAAGAACACCTTTGGAACGAAATCACTAGCCTAGACCAAAATACTACTTGACCGAGATCACTCTTAACCGAAGACACTAGACCGAAATTGCCTTCTAGACCGAGATCATGCGAGATTTCAGTGGCTAGAGAGGGTTCTCGGTGAGGATAGGCCGAAAATTCAATTTGGATAGTGTGGCACTTTTACCAATATGATAAATTATACATTCCAACGCAAATGTCACATCATCTTTTACCCTTATATTTATACTTGGCCGAAAACCCCTTCCCATTTCTCATTTACACCTTCAAAATCTTTACATTTTCTCTCAAAAATTCATAGGAACATCTCCATATCTTCATAAGAATTCCCAGAAACATCAAGCATTCCCAATAACATCTTCAAACTTTTCCCAGGAAATCAATTCCTCAAAGCTAATTATTAGAATTATAGTAAGTCTTCCTTATATAATCTAGTATTTTACAACACTTTAATTGTCAGTTCATCTAATTTACATATTATATTATGTGTTAAAAGTTATAGATACAACTATTTTCACGTGTTCTAACTTGAAGAACATTCTTGTCACTTCGTTATCCACCCAAGAACACACTCGACGCGAGTTCATACACCTACAGTTTTCAAGATTTTTCTATGTTTTAGAGGGGGGGGGGGAGGGGATATAAGTAAAACACAATAAACTTGTGTTAATATACAAACCATTACATATGTTATTCTTATATATATATATATATATATATTATATATATATATATATATATATATATATATAATATATATATATATATATTGGGGTACAAACTTGATTACAATAATAAACTTTATAAATAGAGCTTGTAAGACTTCAACCTTTTGTAACATGTTGAGCAAAAATGTATAATTATATAAAAATATACATATATAATTATTTCATTCCATTTTATTATCATAGTAACAAAATGATAATGTACATACAAAGGATTCTTCAATACAATGAAATAATTTTATAAACTATAATATGTATGGTTTATGGGATATATACTATATTTTACCATTTCGGGATACAATACAAATATAATTATTTAAAAGCATAATTATTTTACACCACATAACTACTATGGAAGGGTAATACTTCCACATTACAAAATGGATTTTCATTATACTACACATAAACCGTTAATGCGGCTTTGTGAGATACTCCTTCATCTTACTTACCACAGTACATACTCAAGTCCCTGCATTATAACTAGAGTCTCCTGGAGGGAGAGCGTGACACTTGTGTATAGATCTATACGGGGCTGACAATCCCACACCTAAACTGTTAGCTACAGTTGGACCGGCAGGTTTGGGGTGACAAATATCGTACCATTCCGACGTCTGAAGAACGTCGTATCCGGCCATCAGGTCATTAGCATGGTTATAATAACTCACAAGGGGTATTATCAAACATTTGGTTTATGGGGCTAGTATACATTTAAATGATTTTATTTAAATAAAATTTCCTTACACTATTTTCCAGTACAATACAGCTTATATTTCTGGAAACATTCATTCAAACAGTTTTATAAAGATATAAAACTACATTATACTAATTCAGAGCACATCAATACATATATATATTTTCAGTCTTAGGGTTCCTAAGACCATAATTCACTTTAAAATAAAATATTGGATTTTCTGGAAGAACATACTATCATTTTCAAGGAACAAAGACATATCTTTCTCATTCAAGATACTTATGAACTCACCAACTTAAATGTTGACACTTTTCAAAACCACTTGTATTCTCAGAGAATCAATAGATAGGTACCCACACAGGTTTTGTGAAGACGAAGCTTAGTATTGTTACGTCTTATGTTTTTGTCACATTTTTTTGGAGTCAAACAAACAATGATTTGAACTCAATGTAAATATTAAATTATCAATATGATGGTTGTAATATTTTGATCTCTATTATTCAGTTGTTATGATATTGTACATGAAAGTCATCCACCCCCAAACATTTCCGCCATTTTACCCGGTTTGGGGGTGTGACAATACATAAGTTAAACCACTTCTTATTGAAGAGCTAACACCGTTTATAATTCACGCTGATTCCACCTCAGCATGACTAAAACAATCCATTCCTTACTTAATTTCTTCTTAATAAACTTTACGATTCATTGTGATATACCACACACTGATAACAGTTGAAATGTTGGGTCGATGGTTAGTCTATGTACCGTAGACTATCACACGCACCAATGCCTTCTTGCACTCATATTCTTCTTTAGAGCTTATGATTCAGTGTAATGTACCATACGCTGATGAGAACTTAAAAAATCTACGATGGTTAAGCTAAAACAACATAGCTTATCACATGCATCAAGCCATTCTTTCCACAATTCTTCTTTAGAATTTTATGATTCAGCACATGAAGCCAGACGCTAATGAGAATTCGGAAAATCTTTGTCGATGGGTATATCATTGTCCGTGGTATATTACACACATCTACCCACTCTTTCCCAATATTTCTTCTATTAAGAAGTTCATGATTCACTATATTAGCCATATACCGATAAAACTTCGATATTCTTTGCCGATGGGTAAGTTTCATACCAGAATGTATTACACGCATAATATATACCACTCATGCCCTTCTCTTCTAATAAAAGTGAAAGAGTTGGCATATGAAACCATATGCTGATGAGATCTCACGATACTATGTCAGTGAGTTTAAGCTCCACTATTAAGAGGCATCACAAACTTACTGAGTAAATCTTTCCATGCCACTTGTTGATTTCTTACGCCGGTTTTCATTGTCGCTGATGACGTGTCTCACTGATGTATCTTTCTTACCTTAATGGTAATTTTTTGGATGACAACTAAAATATCCATCATTATCTTGGGATACGAGATTTTTAGGGAGAAGATCTCTTTAGTAATGATTATGTAATAGGGAAGTAATTTTTTGTATAAATTAGGAATTATCTGTCCTAGGCATTTTTACAAGCCATTTGAGCAATTGAGTCTCTCTCTTTCTCTCTCTCTCTCTCTCTCTCTCTCTCTCTCTTTCTCTCTCTCTCTCTCTCTCTCTCTCTCTCTCTCTCTCTCTCTCTCTCTCTCTCTCTCTCTCTCTCTCTCTCTCTCTCTCGCGAAATAGGCTCTATCAACCATCTTCCTCAAGCTCTCACCATGTCAAAACCTATGTACGAGTTTGCACCTAGCGCTAATGTCGTCAAAGATCCTCACGCCCCTGACTCTCCCTTCATCATTCAAGAGAACAATTTGGTGGTGATGAAATCCCAAACCAATTCGCACACTCAGGAATCAAAGACTTTGTCGACTACGTCAAGAGTTGTCCTCTTCGATATGCATTCTACGACTTATCAAATCCATTCTATCCTAAATAAGTTTGCGAGTTTTACTATTCATGCTCAATTTATGCTGATCCTCAAACTATTACTAGAACCATTGAATATGGTCAATATAAGGTTACTATTAATGTGGAATCTCTTCGAACTGCTCTTCGTCTTTCTCGATTAGAAAGTTACTCTGAAACTCCATAGGAAGAAAGGTGAAAATCCATCTTTGAAAGATTAGAGTATAACTTTAATATTAAGGGCACCACTCGTGATCCTTACAAATACACTCTTCGTCAGTGTTTTGGTGTAGGATAGAAGTATTTAACTGGGGTCATTGGCAAGTGTCTTGGACACAAGACTGGGAGTTTGGATCAACTGACTCTCTTTGAGCAAATAAGCTTATTTTCTGTTGTGTACAACAAAAGACTTGATTTTTCTCAACTTTTTGTTGATCAAGTAATTGATTGCATCACTGGGAACAAGAAGCCAATGTATGTTTCCTATCCCCATTGGATTGGATTGATCTTATATCGTGAAGAAAGCTATGTCGAAATTCATGGGATCACCATTCATATTCCTGCTCTCTCCTCAAAGATCATCAATACTACTCCTACTACAGATGATTTGCATATTATTGTGAAAATACAAAAATGGATTGAAAAACCCTACGTTGTTGAATCCTATGAATCTGAAGAAGAGAACGATGAGGATAATGATGAAGAAGGCACTAATAATGGTGAAAGGGGTGATGAGGAAGAAGACTCTGATAAAGATGAAGAAGAATCAATCGTTGATAAGGGAGAAGACTTTGCTCAGGGGATGAACTCGCCCCCAAGGATGAACAAGCACATTCGTTTTTCAACTACCTCTTCATCCACTTCCTCTGCATATGACGTTGTACAAAGTGGATCAATCCCTCCTTTTGTGGAAACGGCTAAACCAATGATCCAGGATGTAACTTCTCCGAAACTAACATCTCCTTCTCCTCATGCTGAGATTGTTCCCCCTATTCCAACTCCTATTCAAACTGTTGATTTTTATCAAGGGGAATCCAACTCCAACTTTCAAACTGCAGTGTTTTCTCAACTTTCTCTCATAGTGCAGATAACTCAATCGTTGGGAAACAGGTTGTCTAAAGTAGAAAGGGATGTAGCTGAAATGAAGCATTTTCTGGCCTTGGTTGATGATGATGATGATGATGATGATGATATGGTTGTTGATGACACCCTACCAAACTCTCCAGGTGATAACCCTCTTCTACTTCCACCTTTATCATCAAATCCTCCTCCACTACCTCTTCCACCATCTCATTCTCCTCCTCATACCCCTTCACCACCTACTGGCTATCCTCCCTAATCCGATTCCGCCAAAAAGGGGAGGAATAATCAAGAGAGTTCTGATCAATAAATGCAAATGGTGATAACTGCATCAACTCCATCTCAACCTGAGATGTATGAAACTTGAAGGGTTGAAGCTATCCTTCAAAAAGAAATTATTGTTGTTGACATTCCAGAAGCTGATGATCACCCCATTCCAGACACTGGTGATCAATCTGAGACTGACGACTATGAAGGGTTTCTTGATCTTGGTATCATGCCATAACTTGCTATGCCTACTGTTCCTTTAAACGTTGTCTACCCTGATTCTTAATTTAAGGGGACGTTCCTCAAGGAACTAATAATGACATTGATTATGATAATGATCATCTCAATCCTCGAAAGAGGAAGCTTCCTTATCAGGGGTAGCTCATGACATTGAAGCTAAAAGTTCTGCTACTGGTGATCCTTCAGCACCCCTTCATTCCAAGAAAAGCAATAAAAAGCAAACTCATTTTTGATCTGAATGAGTTGCTGAAATATGGGATATAATTGTTGATGAAGTAAGAGAAATCATGATAGAGAATAATGAGGTTATTCGTTAAAAGAAAGAAGCTAAAAAGGAGAACGTTTGTCTGCCAAACTTGCTAAACCTCTTGTTTGTTTCTGCTGATGAAAGTGCTGACGTTCAAAGCACTAATGATCAAGTCAAGAAAATTAAACTATTCAATAATAATGTAGAGAAACAACACAGAGTTTCAGAGCTAGACGACAAGATAAACAGGAAGAAGTTTGGAGACGTTATAACTCGAGGAACAAGATAAACAGGAAGAAGTTTGGAGACGTTATGACCTGAGGTTTATTTATTTTATTTATTATTTAAATTTACTTTATTTTATTTCCAAAATTTTATTTCACCACTGAAAAGGCAACTCCTAATCCCCAATTTAGGATGATACACACAAAGGAAAAAACAAATCTAAATCATTAAACGAAACTCAAAAATATCGAATATAATTATTTAGATTTGATTACACTGTTTCGTTGTTGGTTACAATCAAGATGATGAGATAAAAGAACAAATTCAAACACAAAAAATCAACATCAAACATACAACCAGGTATTCATTGTTGTTATATTTGATTTGATATCCATTCTTCATCACACAACTTCATTGAACAAAACTCAACTATTGGTTGCGTCATTATGACATTAACCCTTTTTAAAATAAAAACATCACGTAACTGTGTTTTTTTTAAATCACACTTGATAAAAAAAAAAAAAAAAAAAACCCTTGATCTGTTGCAAGTTGGTTCATTTGCAACAATAAACTAAATACAACAATGTAAAACATCTTTTTTCCTTTTGAGACCCATAAAAACATTGGAAAAGATAACACTTCTTTCGCATATCCTTTAAATGCAATTCTCATAGCTACAACAAGCCAAATACACCAAAATATTTGTTGAATACTTCCCTAACAACTGTATATTGATCCAAGACACTGTTTTATTTACATAGAACATAATGAGATGACATCAACAAGAAAAATGCAACAAGTTCCATTTTTAGGAAACCAAAAGCTACAAAGAAAAAAAGAAAAAGAAAATACATACACAATCAGAGGAAAAGAACACCCAACAATGTTTCAGTTCACTAGTCTTCATCATCCTCAATCCCAACCCAACTTGTAAAAGCAAACAAAAACTCCTTGAAGTTCACTGTTCCATTTTTATCCCAATCCATCTCTTCTGTAAACACAAAACAACCAAATTCAACAATTCTCACCTTATTTTATGTGCTTATTTATACATGTGTAAGGGAAAAGAGAGAGAGAAAGAAGGACCAAATCTTTTCATGGCAATTTGCCCATCAGATCGCCCACTTTCCTCTATTGCATGAATCATTTCATTCTTGCTGACATAACCATCTTTGTTGTTATCCAAGAACACAAACGATTCAACCAATGTTTCAAAAGTTGCCTCAAGATCCGGGATTCCCATGCGTGATTTCTATAAATGTCAAGAAAGCAACAATAGGAAAGAGAAACATATCACTTCAAAAGATTATGAAATGAACCAAAATTAGTTGGAATATAAAGTAGAGTTGGATACAGCATTTGGAGCAGTGTCAACTTCCTTCAAAAGATAGACAAGGCAAAGAAGGACAATGAACTCATGAAAGTCTATTCCCATGTCATCATTTAAGTCACATGCTTTAAAAAGATCACTGATTTCTTCATTTGTGAAGTTCACTTCAAGCTTACTGAAGCAATGCTTCAGCTCTTTAAGATCAATTGCACCACTTTTATCCTCATCTGTAAGCAACAGGGGAAAAGTAACAAGTTTTTTGTCATAGTACTTTACAAGGTATTGATGTTTCAGTGTACATACCAAACTGTTCGAATATGACTTTGCATTTTCTTAGGCTCTCATCGATTTTTGGGAATTTTAAGATTATCTTGTTAAATGACATTATGGAAGTTCCTTTTAGCTCTCGTTGTAATACTGCATCCAGTATCTGGGCTTCAAGCTTGGATGTAGGTGCAGAAGATGTGGGTGAACCATCGCCCATGATCAACAAGTCGAGAGGCTTATATGGAAGCCTGTTCATTTCAAGTTCAAATAAAAGAACAAAAATCATGGGGTAACAAATTACTAATTGTAACAAATTCCTATCTAAAAATGATATTGATAACATGATGTGAATGTATTTGGATCCAAACAACCGTATGCCATGGATAACATGGTTTTTAATCCTCAAATGGGAACTATGTTACAAAGTCAAGATCCGTCTATAATGGTGGGAAAGATGGACTCTTGTTAATGTTACAGAATCAAGGCAAAGATCTCTAAAACCAATCAACAAAATAGCATTTGCACACAACATGCATATTTTAGGGTTTGCGAACAAACTTTGAGGATAACGAACAAAATTAGGTACAGCTTTCATGGATAGGGGATACTTACGAATTGGGGATACTTATCTAAGTATCAACGAAAGTGAATCGACGAAGGAGAGATGTAGGCCGATGAAACTCCAATCAGATTAGGGCTTTGTGAAAACACAAATTAGGCAGAAAATCTGAAAATTAATTCAGGGGAGCCTGAATAATAATGATAATACAAACAATCCTTCAAAGATCCATGCGCGTTTAGGAATAAAGTTTGGGGAAAAATTGAATTTTGGTTTTTTTGTTGAATTGATGTTTGGAGCATGGGTAGATTTTCTCTTATCTCCAGGATTCGTGCTGCTCCCTACACGTTGACGCTCTGCTTCGATGTTCAACCTTTACAATCTCCCTCTCCTCCCCACCTCTCCCCTCTCCTCCCGGGAGTTCAAACTCCTCTTTATTATTTAAAGAAACAGTTTCATAAATGGTCCTTGTGCATTCAAAAATGTAACAAGGTGAGGATAACTTTTAGAATTACTCCATAAATGGTCCTTGCTGACTATGAAGCTAACCATATGGTTTCATAAAATGACATAAATTGTCCTTTTTTCACTTTCTGTCTAATTATGGCACACATGTACCTCAATTGAGAGCAATATTGTATTTTTTAATTGTTATCATCATTTATGTCATTAATTAAGATTAGACTTGACACAAATAGCCCCTATATCAATTGTGATCATCCCTTCCAAGAAACCCATCAACATTATCCTCAAGTCATAACTTGATCAAAAATCAAACCTTTATAATGGCAAAGTTTACGAAGAAAAAAAAATGGTTTTGATCAGGGCGGTCCATTGTTTTTTGCTAGCCGGAGCGAGATAAAAAATTTTATGCCCTTATATATAAAAAATTTAGAAAATCAAAAATATAGTAAATTTTATAATCAAACAATCAATACAATACAAACGAAACCTACAAAAATCATCTAAACCGTTGTCTTCGTGCATTTTTTGAAGCAAAAATATCTCTTATTTTACAATAATCAATATTTTGTAGAAAATCACTTTCAATACTTAAAAGTGATAATCCATTCAATCTTTCTTGAGACATAGTACTTCGGAGATACGATTTCAAAAGCTTCAATTTTGAAAAACTTTTTTCCACGAAAGCAACCGTAACCGGCACTGTCAATAAGATCCTATATGCAACCAAAACATTAGGGAACATATCCATTCTTCTTGCATACTCCATTATTTGAATAGATGTCCAAGGACCTTCACATTTGTATGCTTCATTAGGTAACATTTTCTGCAAAATTTGTAACTCAATAAATAAACCAATTCCATCAATATCACATTCTTCACCACTTGTCAAGTTGGACTCAAGATTTAAACAACATTTTTTTAATTTATCATCATCTAAAGAAACTAATTTGGAACCATCAAATAAAAAACCAAATATAGATTCAAAATATTGCATTTGTTCAAATCTACTTTTCAATTGAACAAGAGCCATATCTACTATAACAATAAAATAATCTCTTTTAAATGCTTCTTGAGAAGATTGGTGTTCTCTTTCGGTATTTGGAATTTCATCAAATTGTTTTTTTCTTTTATAATCACGTTTTTTTAAAAATTCGAGTTTAACTTTAACAGTATTTGCTATTTCTTTAGCTTCACTAATAGCAAAGTCAAACCCACTTTCCCTATATCCTTCAAAATAATTAATTAACCCCTCTAAATTTTTTACAGCAACATCAATAAGCATTTCTTTGGATTGTAACTTTTTACTAACCAAATTAATTTTGTACAAAACTTCATACCATATAACTAAACTTAAAATAAACTCAAAACTAGAAAATTCACCATTTACTAATGAATCAGCATCTCTACACACTTGTCCATTATCACTTTCTATAGATAATTTTTTTAAAGCTTTTCTTATTTGGGAAAATTGTGTTTTTATTGCTTTAACACTTTCAATATGGTTTTCCCAACGAGTAGATGATAATGATTTAAGTGTTAGATCATCTATAAATTGAAGTAAAACACTCCATCTTTTTGTTGAATTAGAAAAAACATTATAAATCGTTTGGCATGTACCAAAAAAAGTTTTTGCCTTTTGACAAGAATTTCCCATATCACATAAAACCAAATTTAAACTATGACATCCACAAGGCATATAAAAAGCTCTATTATTTATATCAAGCAATCGTTTTTGAACACCTTGGTGTTTTCCTTTCGTATTTGCCCCATTATCATACCCTTGACCACGAATATAATTAATATCCAAATCAAGAGATTTTAGAGCATCTTGTAAAACATTAAAAAAACTTAGACCGGATGTATCTTCTATATTTAAAAACTCTAAAAAAAACACTTCTACTTTTAGTGGAACGTTTTCCAAATCTACACATCTTATAATCAAAGTCATTTGTTCTTGGTGACTAGCATCCGAAGTGCAATCAAGAATTACAGAAAAATATTTTGCATTTTTTATTTTTTTAATAATTGCACTTTTTACCTCGGATGCC